ACCCTTTAGATTGAGAAGAGAGCAGACGATATGTCCTTTCTGGTGCACCTGGAGTGAACATTACACTAATGGAGTCATTTAGTTCACTCGTACACAAGGTGGTCCACAATAGCTACTGAAGAGCTGGTATATGAGAGTGTGTGCAGCAAGAACAATAACCTATGGCTTTAACAGTATATTGCCCCAGACTCTAGATAATTAATTTTAATTATCAGGGGGGCTTTATCCTCTGACATACAAAAAGTAAGTATTTTTTACTCTTATTAACACTGGTTATGTAAAGCAGCACACCATGCATAGTTACTATGTGCCTGTGGAGGGTTTGTACTTGCATGCATATAGGTATGCAGCTATAGCAATGCCTATATGGCAACAGGCATAAGTGTTTTTTAATTAAACATGCCAAGGCAAGTCCTCGCAACCAAAGATTATTTGTTGGGGGATGGTTGGAACACATAATGCATGTAATAAAAGCTACCTCACACTGAAGTGCCACTTTATCACAGTGACATTTCCTGCTTTTAATAATGATTGAAATAATGTGAATGAAAAATATAATGTGCAAGACTAAGGATAAGGAACACATGAGGGAAAAAACCCTATTTTAAGAAGGCTGATCTTCTCATCTGAATATTTTCTTTCAATTAGTACAACTGTTCTGTCTCTCCCTCTTTCCCTCTGTCTGCACCTGTCAAACAAGTGACATTCACATTAAAAACATTCAGATTCTCCCATTGAGATATTTTTAATGAGCATGCCAAACCCCTCAAGTCTCCTTTCTTACAGTATCATTCAACAATTTGCATAATGAAATATGCATGAGAACTAATTTAATTTTTAGTTCAATATTCACATATAACATAGAGAACAAATGTACGCTACACATTCAGTTACTGTGATGTATATTGGTGTCTATAGCTGACCAGAGGGGTTTTTGGAGTTTAAAAGGTTTAAAACTATGTGTTGCGGTGTCTGTCATATTCTAATAACAATACCCGCCAGTCTTCTCTCCTCTCTCCCTCCCTTATTTTTTCTCGCCTCTGTGCTTTTTAATTTCTTGCCCCGGTGCCTTCATCATCGGTCACCTGTCATCAGTGCAAGTTGTGGACTGGGGGGGACACAAACTGACAAGCCGCCACAACTTCGCTCAGAACACCCACCAATGGACACGTTTGGCTGACCCACAGTAGTGAATCAGAGCGCAAAACCCCATTTAATGACCTCACCTATTGGCTAGCGCAAGAACCCGTCCAGTGGTTATGATGTCATCACAATGGGAGATAAAGAGCAATTAGAGCTTCCTCTTTCACCCAAAACTTTGTGCTCAAAAGTGCTACCACAGGCACACTGGCTGGATTAATTATTTCCACAGACAAACTTTAAGGAGAAAAAAATCTAAACACTGTTAACTCCGAGAAACCGCAGGGGCTTATAAAAATGTCTCATCCCTAAAGAGCAAAGGGAATAAAATCCAACTGACACAAAAAGATGCTAGTGAACTGGGCAGTGAAACCACATGACATCAAAAAGTTACTGCACAAAGCCAACAGAATTCATAAGTAACTGAAATACAATACATTAAAGAAAGCCCAAATGCAGGGAACAGGCAGTGTAGAAGAAATAAAAGATGCAAATGTGTTCGAAGAAAGAAAAAAGGAAGAAAATTTAGGCTTTGCACTAGCTGTGGGTATGTGTATATGTGTGTGTTTATTTCTGCTTGATGGTACTGCAAAAAAAAGCTCAAATTCTCTGGACTTTCACGGCTGAGTCATAAAGAACTGAAGGTTATTGACTGGTGTTTTAAATAGAGGGTATAGAGCATAGATTTGACATAATCTCTTGTGCGCTCTATCTCTCTGCTATCACTCCTTCTTTCTCCATCTATTTTTGTCTGCACTAGCTTTCTTTTTCTTCTCCCCACACTCTCTAAGCCCAGATAATAAACTAATTTCTTTTTCAGCCTTTGTCTTCATCCTTCCCACCAAGGAATTATTCCTCTCACTTCCTCCTTCTTTGTCTCTCATTCTGACTGTTTTTTTCTTTGTCTGTTTATCTGTCTTAAACCCACTTAGCTGCAGTTTCCGAAGTCACACCCAGATATATGTGGTAGGCCTCTTATTGCTGGCTTCTCTCTCTCTCTCTCTCTCTCTCTCTCTCTCTATTTGTCTGTCCTCTCTCCCTCCTTAATATCTTTCTCATTCCTGCCTCCCTCAGGGCGTCATCTCCAGCCTCCCTCTGTTTCTCCCTCGATCCCTCCATCCTTAGTAAAGCCTGTGCTGACGTCATCATTCTGTCTGAGCCAGTAGTCTGAGTCAGATCCAAAAAAGACTCCCTTATGTCCCTGGTACCTCCATCTCTTCTCTGTCTCTCTCTTTCCTTCTCTCTCTCTCTCTCTCTCTCTGTTACTCTCATTCCCTCTCTGCCAATGTGTTTATCCAGCACCCTAACAAAACATAAACCCAGCAAAAATTCAAAATTCATGTCCTCTCTGCATTCTGACCCACGATGAATGTAGACGCAGAACATGTACATACCTCACACACACCTTTGCGACATATTGCTTTTTCCCCGTTCTTTAAAACATCGGGGAAAAAAGCTCAATATTTTTACGTGTGTGTTTTCCTTGGTGTTGGCAGTAAAGCTCCTTTTTTTAATTAGCATGACCACATCAAAACAAGGCAGTGGCCTGGATACCGCCTTGCCTGCTGGCTTTCTTCCCTGCAACGTGCAACACACACACATGCTCACAAACACACAAACAAACTATTCACTAACAAAGCCGAGCTGTGGCAGGCAGGGAAAGAGAAAGCTGCGATGCTGCAGTGGGTGCTGCTGTTGTTATTGTCTCTGATGTTTTTCACTTTGTTTGGCAGACCTCCCTTCACTCCGTCTCTGTCTCTCTGTCTCCATCCCTCATATAAACATAACTAACTGACTGATGATTTGATGAGGCTGACGCTGGCTGATGGAGCGCGCGTGTGGGTATGTGTGTGTGTGTGTGCAACTGTGCCAGCACATGCATGTGTCTGTGATCGGATGTAAAACGGAATAAATATTTGTGTGTATGTGCGTGCGTGCGTGTGTGTGTGTGTGCTCGGGTGCAGATGTGTTGAAGAACTATATAATTACAGAGCAAGTGAGAGCTGGGAACTAATCCTCATGAGTTGAAAGAGGTGTCTGAGAGTGAGTGACGCACAAAGCCTCAGTGCAGTCTTCTGGAATCAACGTTTGAATACAGTCAAAGCACTCCGCAACACTGTCTGAGTCATCTACAACATGGTCTAAACATGCTTCACACATGCACTTTTCTGGAATGGTGAATATCGTAAAATACACACACACACACACACACACACACAGTAGGCTGTGCTGCCTGATAACACATTAGAGCATTCCAGAACAAAACCGGAACATTACATTGAGACATCTGTCCAAATGATATTAGGCAAACATATACAAACATTATAGAAGACTGCAGTGCATCCAGTATATTAACATAGACCAAATCACTGTGATGTTGCACTAACAACAGGAGTCCCTTCTGGGTAGATAACTGGCAGTTGATTTGAATTGCGGAGATATGTAAACTTTTTAAAATTTTTCTATTTCAGATATGAATAAAAAAACTTTAATTGTATATGAATTCAAAGTCTTAACTTTTAAATGACATCATCAAAAAAGAAAACATTCAACGTTGCTGCGATTAAAATATATTCAGATAAGGCAGGGTTTTTTATTATTATTATAGTTACTGTAAACAAACTTTGGTTCTAATCAGATGAACTAAAAAAGGAAAACTAAATTACTAGTGTATTGATAGTATTTAATGCTAACTTTGATTTTGATAAATATTAAACTCCTACTGCATCATAAGCAAAACAGCACTATCTTTAAAAAATGTAATTCATTTTGACAGAAATTTACACATTAGAGCAATTTGAGGTTCAGTATATTTCACAGGATACTTTCACATGCGGACAGCAGGGGTCAGGGATCAAACCACTAACCCTGCGACCTTGATTTGATCATATTTTTGTCAAACTACTCAAATATTCCCTAATTTGCCTCTGATCCTGTTTTTGAGAGATTTTGATCTTCATGAGTAATTCAGTAAACAGATTTGCTTGTAGTCATGTCCAATTACTTTGTGAGTAAAGAAAAAAAGCTACTGCTCCCATGAAAACTGAGAAGTCCAGCAGCACAGGCAAGTCATCATAAGCTGGTTTCATCCAGATCCATAAAATGCTCTTTTAGAACAATATTAAATCATTTAACTACCATCTTTGTCTAAGACATGAAGCAGGCCACATGACATACTGTTGAGAAAGGCTCTGTTCCAAGGCTTTACCGTATTTTTAGTTATTAGTGTTAGTGTTTTTACAAATGTCAGTGGGATTTAGAGTCTTTTCTTACTTCTGGAACAAAACCTGGAGGTTCCAGTTTCACTTTGGCTCTTTAATTTCTGCTGAAAGATGAAATTCCTTAACACATTTATCGAAGAACTGAAGGCTTTGTCTGAAATCTCTAGCTAGTATTTACCACATAGGGCACTATATTTATGTTCCACCATTTAATTTTAATGTCATATTTCTGAGTGTGACTTATGCACTGTATAAATCACATCAAATCAATTTTATCGCCACACAACTTTCTACTAACAATCCCACAGTGCAATGCATCACATTTTATAGATGCAAGAATTACAGTGGAGTGGTGCAACTCTGCCCCTCTCAGTGATGATGCAAAATGACACAGATTCCTGTCCAAAATCTCAGTTCACTTTATTTTTACATATTGAACAAAGCTAAATAATCAA